TACTACCCGCTTGTTTTAAGACAACTGCATATACGACCGACTAAGTCATTTAAATAGATTTTTTCATGCGCTTTATTCTACTTGGTTTAATTAAGTAGTATGAGCATCCCAACTGATTTTGTTGTGCTGATTGTTGCCACCACTTCTTTTGAATAGAATAATGCTGTCTTAACAGAAGTTATTTTTAATCTCTTGATGGCTGGGTGTTCTACCAAGATTCATAAGATTTTACTTCATAGTTCAAAGTAACCACTTACCTTAAAGGACGTGAATGATTGTATTTTAATTTCTAGGTTTAAAATCATTCCCCCCAATTTTATAACATAACCTGAGGCATATGTTGAAAGAAAACAAAAATTTCAGTAAACACATTTTTCTTCTCGACTGTTTCATTTGTAAAAGCTGTAAAGTACTTTTATGAAACAATTAACACGAATAGCAAATTTTTCAGGTAGATCATGATTTGAAACCTAAAAGTACAGATGTGTTTTGTCCTAGTATGGAACCACAAACCACTGAGTGTTTCTCAAGAAACCGTAAGTCTTTTAACTTTGTTAGACTCTAGATATGTTTATCTAGCTAAAATTAATATCTACCGTTTTTTAATGAGCTTTATGAGTTCACACAAGATAAATTTACTTAATAGTAAAAATCAGCATTTCGAGATCCTATTTACATGGTTTGTGTAAAAATGTTGAACATGATAGCAATTGTCATTATGAATCCCCAAGCTTAGGAATTCGGAGATTACATCAAGACTGTAATCGTCGAATCAGTATGGCCCACTTTCATTTTGCTTTTAAAAATCCCGCTAATAGGCCTACTAAGACGATAACATGGATGATTACAGAAATCCATTTATATTCGATATTAGATTTGGTTAATTTGCCTAATTGGTGCATCAAGCTTAGTTGTTTCAATAGACCTCAAAGTCAAGCAAAATTTAAAAACTAACTCACAGTATTGATATGATTGTCACACCCGATATATAAGAAGTTTCAGGTGGTTATGTTCATTTATATTTTAACTGTGGCTTGCAGAATTGCAGCCACAATCTCAATGACCAAAGAACACATAATTAAAGTATATTAAAAAACAATAAACACCCTTCTAAATGCTTTAGTTAGCATAAAAGAAAAAATCCACTTTATATTAACACAGGATTATGTCTACATATTAGGTTGTGTCGATTGTGATGCCTTCTTTATTGGAGGGTCACGTGAAATCCCGACTCCAACCAGAGAATGTCACAGCTACACAAAAAACTGGAAAGACTCCAAATTAAATCTACAATAGCAGTCTACACCATTTTCAATAACCATCAAGTTGATATTAAAAACTGTAAAATATATACAAAGACGAGTAGGTAAAGCTTTCCATATTTGCTTAATCCTACCGCCATCAATAGAAAAGAAGACATCACTACCCACCTGACTTGGACTGTTTATCCGAGCTAACATGTCTGATTCTATTCACATCTCACATCATTATCAGACGTACAAATTCAACTCAATCCTTTCGCACCACAAATATCATATTTCTTCATCCCTTAACATACACACAGACGCGCAAATATACAAACATGCCTCACATAAATAACCTTGACCGGAATGACACAACATTGAATTAGTCAGACCTGTATTTGACTGGTCACTTTAAATATTTTTGTTTGTTTCTGTCTACTACTTAAGATTAGGTTAATTTAGTTTGACTATTTATTCTCTGAAGAAGTAGCTCACACCGAGTCACGAAACGCCAGGAAATCTAATTTTTCTACTTATTGGGATATTACAAATATATTATTTTTATTAATAGAAATCATTGACACTGTTAAATTAATGACACACTTTGAATGTATCCACCAATATTCTTGGTTTTCGAACAAATTTTGTACAACGCAGGCCCGTTTTACTACGTCCATAAAACGTATTAGATTATAAGTAGCTTTTATATTTGGTCGTGGTGATCGAATGTAAACATGAAGGATTGCTGTTGTTATAAAAGACTACAGTTGTTATTGCATTGTCTAACTATGCACCTGACTTACGCCTGTTACGCCTCGAAGTGGAGTATAGGCCGCCCACCAGCATTCTGTATCCAACTCGGTCTTGGGAAATCCTTTCTTGATAAAAACAGGTCCAGATTAAAGTATGCACAAGTAGCTACATATATATAAGGCTTCAGAAAAACAGGAATTCAGACGAATCCTTCGACATGATCAGAAGTCTTCAGTGAAACCTTATAAGTAATCGATAATACTTTGGTCCCCACTAGGTCAAACAATTAAAAGTTCACTTGAAAATAACCAAGAAGAGAGAAAGAATAAGAAATTATCGTGTTATCCTAGGCCATAGAATGACTTGAGGATTACAAGGTAAATTCAAGGTTATGATAAATTGGTTTTGCACACATAAGGACAAGGTATGTGTTATGGAACCAAACCGTGTTAAGACAACAGAATGTGTTTATACGCAAGTGCTGTGAGAAGAAATTTCATTCAACTAAATATTGACTTCGGTCTGTGTATATTAAGAAAACAGATCATTTTTATATATGAAATGAATCAAAAATGCCACAGCCTGCATTAAATGAAGATAAAATAAGTAAACAAAATAAAAGAGGAATGTATATGTAATTGAAAGTGTGTTATTTTTAATGTTCCAGTCAATTGTTTAGCATATTCAGATAAGATAACGGATCTGAATCATTGAACGTATTATCTATCAGTTAGTTACTATGGCATAGATATATCAAATTGCAAAAAGGAGATCACGTTTACTTATTAATTATTAGTTGCCATGGGACAGCTAGTTGTATTCCATCTCTCCTATTAATATTGTTTGAATCAGCCCATATATGTAGGGCTTCGGCTGTTAGTCGTTCTTTGTAAGAATTAAATCCTTTTTGGATGATTCTCGTGGCATTGAAATCAACTGTATGACCCGATTCAATCGAGTGTAATGCTATCGCTGATCTGTTCTCAAGCTTTTTTACATAAATTGAGGATTTAGGAATGTGCTTTAAGCACAGTTTGTGTTCCTTCACCCTCACATTCAGTTGTTTTGATGTTTCAACTACATACGTTGCATTACAGTCATTACATTTGATTTCATAAACACAATTCTGTTGATCATCCTTGTGTATTGGATCTTTGATTCTTACTAGTTTTGATCTTAGAGTATTGTTTGTTCGAAAGAATACTCTTATATTTTGACGAGTTAAAATCCTTCTGATATCTTCTGAGATACCTTTACGAAATGGGATCACTACTGTGTTCATCCAATCTTGCTTAACTCTTTTTTTAAAAATATCATTCCGTTCTTCATTCTTAATTATTCTTTTAATAAAACCTTTCGGATAATTATTCATTAGTAGAGTGAATACAACTAAATTCATTTTCGTTTTTATATCATTTGGTTCAGTGACAAGCTTTTTGACTCTGGTGATCAAATTTTTGGCCACTGTCACTTTGGTCGAGTGTGAATGCGCAGACTTAAAATCTAAAAATTTCCCTGAATATGTAGGCTTTCGGAATATATTAATTTTTAAACAATCATTATCCTTCCTTTCAACCAGGCAGTCTAGAAAAGGTAATCTGCGTTCAGGCGATTCCAACTCTTTAGTAAACTTGATTTTGTCACCTAAGCTGTTGAACCGTTGGAATAGTTTGTGTAAACCATCTCGTTTTATGATGACAAATTCTATATACGGTTTATTAAAGCTAATTTCCTATACATTATATCACGCTAAAATCACTACAAATATGATGGAAGTTAGAAAATGAGTTCAATATATTCGAAAATAGTTCTGATCCCAAAATGATACACAGGAAAGATTCTAGTATCTACTGGTCTATAGACCCCGAATGCCCTGGTACGGCAGAGAATGGGGAGAGTCCGCTCTCCCTCTCGAAATGCTCTCACATGGCCACGCGTATATAGCCTCTACCAGGGAAGGCCTACTCACTGCCTTCTCGTACCGCGGGTGTTGTTTGCGAAATTGAGAGGACAAAACGCGAATGCCGGACGCTTTAACCGGGTTGGTGGACACGGAGAGTCAACCTAGGGGAGTTGGAAAACCCTGATTCCAAACCAATGGTGCACACGGGTTCCAGAATCCTGAGGGAACAAATGGCGTATGAACCAATCGTTGGTCACTGGCTACCATGGGACTGCATCTCCTCACGATGCTCCACTGTTTTGTGGATCAGACCTTCAGGTCGAAGGCTCGGGGAGTGGCCCCCTAAGAAAACCATCTGTTTCGGTTCGGGCACCCGGGCAGTATCACAGCCCTCGCACAAATCAAATGAGATTTGTGTGGCGCATATGTATTTGTGCTGGTCTATAACTAATTAAAAATACATTCAAAACAATTCGAACTCGTTCAAAATTATCGATTAACCTAAACAAACCAAATATCACGAATTTTATCAGTATATATATATATATATATATATATATATATATATATATATATATATATATATATATATATATATATATATATATATATATATATATGTATATATCAAATAACTGATATAATTGTGTTGTTAGTCACCCACTAGTCGCTAATATAGTGTGACAATAACAAAATCACTATTACTCGTATTAAACACCAACACAGAAAACTTGAAACTCGTAAATACAACACTTAGAAACTAGCAATACTCTAAGCTCTGTAATAACACTAATCATTATTCTGAATGGAAATGAATTTGTGAGTAACACCATTTGCAAAACTTTTCCAAGTTATTAATTACCAACCTACTGAATACTGGAAAATTCATCCATCCCACCTACCAAAGAAAATATTTATAAAGCAAACTCCTGTCATAGCAGATGTTTCGCTAGGTGATATTGAAATTAAAGTCAATAAAAAGGATGATATGTACATGGAATGGCAACAGATTAAACATTTTTAACACTTGTTTTTATCATACGTACACCGCAAATAACACATAAAGTAAAGAAAAAGTATTGTACAAAGTTATAAACATGTCATTGCTTATCATCGTCATCTTCTTCTTCCGCCTGTTCAAGCCAATCAAAGAAAGGTTTGACTTTTTCTCTTAATGATCGAGTTTTCTCAGAAATATCATCATCAAGTAAAAGTGGGGAATTATCTTTCCACCACCATATATCATCTTCTAAAACTAAATCATTGTCATACATAGTGTGAATAATAGACATAGAAGAAGCAAATATTAATGAATCATAGCATGCTGCATCTTCAACGGCTTGAAGATAAACTCGGCCAGTATTTTGAAATCCTGACATACATGATGACAGAACAGTATTAAAGCTTAATAGGAGTTTACGAAGATTAATGATGAATTCTGTTATATCAGCTTTACTGCATTCATTTTGTGATTTCGAAGATAAACGATCACGAGTTAGCTCCAGTAAGGCTTTTGTCAATAAGAATCCAAAATCTTCAATAGGTACATTATAAGCATGTTTTAAAGAATTAACTTCAAGTATAAGTGTTTCAGCTGGATACTTATGTCGTTCACCTCGTTCCAAAGTTCGTTTCAATTCAGTAACTATGAAGCTTTCTGACTGCTCATCATCGCCATCACTTTCAGTTTTCGATGTATCTTTTAATTGATGTTCCAAATCTCCATCACTGTCATCTATCTCACTTACCATACGGCGAGGCTTGCTGGATTTGCTACAACGAATATCACTAGTTCGGCTATGACTAGACTTTTGATTCATTCTTTGCCGACGTGTTTTAGCTGCATTTTTAATTCTGTCCCAGGCCGTTTCCCACAAATGACAATTTGTAAATTCATCATTTGTCAAATACACTTGGTCGGATTGCGTATCTTCCTCGGAAAGATTATCCACAGAATCGCTCTGAGAAAAAATATATATATAATACATAAATTAAAGCATCTAAAGCAACTAAGTGCAAGCAAAGATGATGTTTGACTTTGAGCAACACTGAATGCATAAAGGTTAGTCAACATGACAAACTATTCAGACGGAAATACACTCAGAAAGAGACTAGAAGTTATCATTACCATAAACAAACAAATAGTGAGTAATTACTAAATATATTTTATAGATCCAGTTACTTTTTTTATTATCCTGGTAATTTTAAAATCCGGAAGCCTTTTGTAAAGGTATAAATACTTCATTTGGAATTGGAATTAATGGATCTACTAGTGCGACCAAATAAATTAACTCGCATTGTTACTGTAACTTATGATTTAAGCCATAATTTTATAATGATTTTATTATGAAAAGGATCTGTGTTCGTAAACGTGCAGTAGTATTTTTAAAGTTCATTTTTAAAACATTACAGTAAGTGAAAGTTCTGAAATCCCATAAACGAGTCATATTAAGATGAGCGAAATGTAGATCTACACAAAAGCGATTCTCGTTTAGGGTCTATGTATGAGCCTAAAGATGAAACGAGAAACTAATATTACCAGCAATATTATGTTAGATTTTAACGGTTTAGCTCAGCTAGAAAATTTTATCACAGTCGTTTTGTAATGGTATTGAGTAAGATGTTTCATGGAATAAGACGAATATCAATTTAGCAAATTAAAACCAATAACTTGCATCCACACAAGTGCATACTATTTATTGAGACAAAATAACTTTCAGTTTGGGGTTAGAGAGATTGTTGAAGTTCACTGAAATTACGAACCAATCAATGTAAGACAACCAGTAAAAACCTAGAAGCACTGGGCGGCCGTTTCGCCCTAGTATAAGAGACTCCCCTGTAGTACGCATCTACAATACCATACGCCAGATTTGAATCCAAGACTATCGGTGTCGCGTGAAAACGCTTAACTTCCAAACCACTGAACCGGCACTGCTAAGGAGTCCCATACTAGGACGAAACGGCCATCCAATGCTTCCAGGTTTTCAATGGCGGTCTAACATTGATCGGTTCATGATTTCAATAAAACAAACTATTTATTCATTTATTGCCTATCAACTTGATGTGAAGTGTAACTTCAAAGGATACCTAAAACCATATTTTTGGAGAATTTTATACGCCCAGTTTAGTTATATGCAGACCTGAGAACTGTTATTTAAAATTACCACACAATCAATCTTCATCAACAAGTTGGTGATATGTAAACTACATCATCGTTCTGTATAAAAATGCTGGTAAATTAGTCTGCTGGAACCCATAAAAGGGAATATTAAACCAGACGAATAGCTCTTATGATGAAGAATGAATTATCGCGTAGTATTAATCTTCATGATGAGCTTGGAACCAATTTTAATGGATAAGACAGGATCGACACCTCTATGACTCTACATATTCATAGACATTATTTAGTAATTGTTCTTCTTTCTGTTCCTTTTTGTTCTGTTGCTGATTGACTCTTACTATGTTGGTTCGAAGTGTAAAAAATTCAGTTTTTCAAAATTACATAATAATGAAAGTATTCGTCCTTGATCTTACCTAGGCATTCAAAAATCTAAGAAAACAGCATTAGAGTAGGCAGGTTCTAATAAAATGTTATTGACAACATCTATGGATGTACATTCTCAACACGTTCAAATATTTTCAGTCAAATATAACTGAGAAAAATATCTGCCAGGGAAGTCCTACTCATTGCCTTCTCGTGGCGGGGGTGTTGTTTACGAAAATGAGAGGACGAGAAGCGAATGTCCGGCGCTTTAACCGGATTCCAAACCAATGGTGCACATGGGCTCCAGTATCCTGCGGGAACGAATGGCGTATGAACCAATCGTTGGTCACCGGCTACCATGGGACTGCATCTCCTTACGATGCTCCACTGCCTTGTGGGTTAGACCTTTAGGTCAAAGGCTCGGGGAGTGGCCCCCTAAGATAACCACCTGCTTCGGTTTGGGCACCCGGGCAGTATCACAGCCCACACACAAATGATGAACTGTTTATGTCTATGGAAACTACTTTTGTCGCTTTGAAAAACAATCAATTGATTCAAATTATGATCACTTCAATTATTGTCATTATTAATACTAATATTATTATTACTACTATTATTGTCATTATTGTTATTATTATCATTATTATTATTATTTTCCACATTATTCACCTTCTTTTATACTTATACAGCGGCTCGTCTTTGGTGGAATTCCGACTGTATCTAAACGTTCTCGAGTCACTGTCCGGTTGAAAATTGTATGTTACCACCGAATACGAGGACTGAAGCAGATTTTCTGAAACCACGTGCATCATTCAAACTGGCTGCCTTCAACGTTCGCACATTTATGCAGGTCGGACAACAGATAGGGCTGGCTATGTCTTTGGAAAGTCTTAATATCGACGTGTGTTGTCTATCCGAGACCCGTATTCAAGACTCTGGCGAAGTACTACAAATTCGATCTCCATCTGTCGCTTCGAAAAGCTTGTTTTACGTGCGCTTATCCGGGGACCCTGTGGCATCTTCGTCTGGTTTTGCTGGCGTTGGTGTCGCACTAAGCGCTAGAGCTGAGGCAGCACTAATTGATTGGATCCCCATTAACAGTCGGTTATGTGCTGTTAGATTAGAAAGTTCCATCAAAGTGAGAAGAAATCGGCGTGAGAAACGATGTCTTTTCGTCATCTCCGCCTATGCCCCGACAGATTGCAGCCCGGATGCAATCAAGGATGAGTTTTACCACCAGTTATCAGTTCTTCTCCAGAAAGTGCGTTCGACAGATATTGTAGTACTAGCCGGAGACTTGAATGCTCAGGTCGGGCGTCTAGGCACAGAAGAGAGTCGTTTAGGTGGCCGATGGGGACTCGTTGGTCGCAGGTCAGATAACGGGGACCGTCTACTGCAACTTTGCGCAGACCACAACCTGTTTCTGGCTAGCACTAACTTTCGGCACAGTCATCGCCGATGTGCCACCTGGCGTCCTCCCTCTGCATCTCAAGCCTGGACTCAGATTGATCACATCGCGATCAGCTACCGCTGGCGTGGTTGTGTACAAGACTGCCGCTCCTTTTGGAGTACCTATCTGGACTCTGACCACGCCTTGGTCTGCGCCAATCTTGCCTTACTTTTCAGTGGACAACGAAGTGAACGCCATCAACGGATTGATGTTAGCAAGCTGGTTGCAACTTCTGTTGCAAGTAAGTATCGAACCGAGCTAGCCTCTAGGCTAGCTACCACTCCACCGAAAAGTATAGATGAGCATTGGTTGCAATTGCATGACGCCATGAAAATGGCGGGAACAGTCAGTTGTGGGTTTGTGAAACGTCCCGCTTTTAAGCACTGGGTTTCTTCTGGTTCCTTACAACTCATTGAAGCCCGTCGGTCTACTCCGGGTGACCGTGAGTTTGACCATAAACGAAGGATGTTACGTGAGGAAATTGGGCAAAGCTTGCGTAAGGACCGAGAAGCCTGGTGGTCGATGCGTGCTAATGAGCTGGAAGCAGCAGCTGCATCTGGTAACTACCGGAAGCTCTTCCAACTCATCCGAGCCACTGGCAGCAAGAAGTCTGGTGTGAGTGAAACAATCTGCGAGGATGATGGGATGCCAATCACTAACATCCATCGACGTCTTGGACGATGGGCAGAATTTTTCGAAGGGCAGTTCAACTGGCCTGCTGCTCCGGTAACATCGGTCAGACTGTCCTGCCCTCCATGGCCGGTGACGACTGATCCACCAAATGAGGAGGAAGTCCGCAAGGAACTCCAACTCTTGAAACGTTACAAATCACCTGGCCCAGATGACTTACCTCCGGCTCTTTTTAAAGATGGTGGTGACTTTTTGACTAAGGAATTGACGACGTTGTTTACAAAGGTTTGGGATCTAGAGAGTGTACCAACGTCATGGAATGAGTCGATAGTTGTCCCTATCTTTAAAAAGGGTTCACGTCGTTCTTGTAACAACTATCGGGGGATAAGTTTACTTCCGATTGCGTCCAAGCTATTGGCTTCCGTCATTCTTCGTAGGTTGTTCAAAACCCGAGAAAGATTGACTCGCGAGGAGCAGGCTGGGTTTCGTTCTGGTCGAGGATGTATTGATCATATCTTCACCCTCCGCCAAATGTTAGAACACCGCCATACTTTTCAAAGGCCAACAATCGTTGTGTTTCTTGACATCAGGGCTGCCTTCGATTCGTTGGATAGGACTGTTCTCTGGGATTGTCTATTGAAGAAGGGTGTGCCTGAGAAGTTTATTAACATCCTAAAAGCCCTGTATAAAAACACCTCAGGCAGAGTGAGGGCATACAACCACCTCTCTCCATTGTTCCATTCGAGCAGTGGGGTTAGGCAGGGTTGCCCAATCTCACCATTCCTCTTCAACTTTGCCATCGATGACATTCTGGAAACAGCTCTGATGAATGTAAGTAATGGTGGTGTGGATCTGTTGCCTGGAGAAAGACTTCTCGACCTTGAGTATGCGGACGATATTGTCTTACTGTGCGATAATGCCCAAGGCATGCAATCCGCACTTAATCAGTTGGCAATCAATGTCCGTAGGTATGGTATGTGCTTTGCACCTTCGAAGTGCAAAGTACTTCTACAAGACTGGCAGGATCCCAATCCTGTACTCACCCTGGATGGTGAGCAGATAGACGTAGTTGAGAAGTTCGTGTATCTGGGTAGCTGCATAAGTGCTGGTGGGGGTGTGAGTGATGAGATCAATGCACGAATAGTGAAAGCCAGAGCGGCTTATGCCAATCTGGGCCACCTTTGGCGCCTTCGTGATGTCAGTCTGGCTGTAAAAGGCCGGATCTACAACGCGTCGGTGAGAGCAGTTTTGCTCTATGCTTGTGAAACCTGGCCTCTCCGAGTTGAGGACGTTAGACGACTCTCTGTGTTTGATCATCGCTGTCTCCGAAGGATTGCTGACATTCAGTGGCAACACCATGTTAGTAATGCAGAGGTTCGGCATCGTGTGTTCGGGCACAGAGATGATAACTCAATTGGTGTCACCATCTTGAAACACCGACTTCGGTGGCTTGGACATGTTCTCCGAATGTCGTCCCAGAGAATTCCACGTCGTGCATTATTTGCCGACTCTGGGACTGGTTGGAAGAAGCGGAGAGGTGGTCAGTGCATGACATGGTGTCGTGGCATGAAAGAAAGCTGCAAAGGACTGGCTTGTGTTGGTCCTTCACGACTCCCTGGTTGGGGTCCGAGAGATGGTGCAACACAGTGGCTAGAGACGTTATCAGATATGGCTCAGAATAGAAGCCAGTGGCGATCCTGCTGTAACCTTCTTTTACTTTCTTCATAAAAAGTGGTTGTGTCTCCTTTACCTGAAAGATTTCTTCTGATTGTACCTCTTCGTCATTACTCTCTTTTTCTTTTGCGTTCCTTAGTTTTTTTTTTTTTTTTTTTTTTTCTTTTTCTTTCTACTTCTCTTCGAATTCCCATTGTTTTGTGTGGCGCATATATATTGGCGCTCTCTTGTACCAATATTTATGTGTTCAAATAAATAAATAAATAAATAAATAAAAGTGATAAGTAGGAAAATCCTGGAAAATGCATAGCCAACTATATATATATATATATATATATATATATAGTCAACAATTTAATTAGCTCACAAACAAGAAATTAGAGCTTACTGTCCCTGAAGGTTGCCTTTTTTTATAATAGGCAGCCCAGGCTTGTTCACCACCAACTGAAGGGTCTATAACTAAATCACCTGTACGAGGAGCGACCAAAACGCTGTTACTTGGCAAGTTACCACATCCTGGACCCAATGTTACATCTGCGGTTGATGACGGGCCTATGAAACAGCGGTTAGGAAGTTTAAATCCAGAAAGTATACGAACACCGGAACACAACCAAGCTACGTCTGCCTTTACATGACTAGAAATATGAACGTTCTCCAAAGCGATAACACGCCGTAAACATGCATTTTCACCTACAAAACAATTTTCCCCAAGGGAACAGTCAATTAAGCAAGCAAACGCCGACACTTCGCACCCAGATCCAATGAAGCACGCTCCAATTATTCTGGCTTTATGGTGAACTTTCGCCAACTTAGACACAAAAACTTGTGGACCAACTGCTACAATTTCGGAGCCTGATAGATTGGCATACAAAGGTGGCAGAGACAAATGAAACCCACCTTGTCGAGACAGAAGTTTAAAGTTTAAGTCAATCAAACTATTAAGATCAGGAGCAGCCTGAAGCACAATCGGTCCTTTAGGTAAAGGTTCAACATGTATGGTATATTCCATAATTTCTTCATTCGTTAACACTCCATTTACAAGATCATCCATAGTTTCATAGTCAAAATTATCCTGAGGAAGCAACGGAAAGAGGGAAAATAACTTCGATAAGTAGACAGTAAACATACTAGACATGAATAATACAGGTATATTGCTTACAAACAATTTGTATGTTATGATGGCAATCCACTTTACTTAACAATTCATAATGTCATGCATCAGAATATGAATCATATTTATAGGAAAGCCTGAAAACCTGAAGAAACGTGAGTGGCTTATGAAACAGAACCAACAAGATGGATCATGTACCTTCAAATCTTATAACAAGCGTCTCATATCATGCAGAAATAAGAACTTTTATAACAGCACAACATATTGTTTTAATTTTCATTCACATCGAGGGTTAGATTTATGATTAAGGCATGTACATGAGTGACCTGGTTTCGGAATAAACAATTTACTACCTCTGACACAACGAATTTAATCTTATGACCAATCGCTAATTCACTCGATAGATATATCAAGCAATAGTTAGAGATACTTTATTTTAGAGATTTATGTGAATTTAGATTACGAAATACAATTTGAGTACCGCAACATATGAACTTCATTCACAAATACAATCAACGCAAAAACTCATGTTGGACGCAGTTTCACCAAATGTTTTATTGACGGACAGTATTACTGACTGTAACACAATATAGATAGAGAACAACTTACTTAAATATTGTATAGTCTTCAAGAATGAACTGAATTACACTACATATTCATTTTAGAACAAAAAGAATGCTTCTGTAAATTTGCGAAGCTGGTAAATTTACAGAAAAAACTATCTTTGATAATATAAGCAGCCCACAGTAAGCAGTCAAATGAAAGTGTTTTCTAAAAAAACTCCTACCTGAACATTTGTCAAAAATTATAAAAGCACGGAAGCGCGTTTAATTCTAAAGGTAGTTTGTATAAGACAATAAAATATATAGCTGTCACTGATTTCTCTGATGTTCGGTGCTTAGACCGGGTTGGTGGGTACGAGACACCCATCTAGAAGAGCTGGAAAACTCTGACTCCTAATGAATGGTGCACATAGGTTCTAAGATCCTGAGATAAAAAGTGACGTATGGACCCATTGCTGATGACCGGCTACTATGGGACAATATCTCTTAACGCTGCTCCACTGCCTTATGGACTAGACATATGGATTAAAGGCTCGGAGAGCAGTCCCCTAAGAAGACCATCTGTTTCGATATGAGCACCCCAGGTGGTATCCCAACCCTTACACAAATCTAACGATAACTGCAATTATATTTACACAAACAAATATACAAATGAAAACAAACACTACAGAAAGTATGTGCATGTTATGGCGTGATTTCGGGTTTGTTATGAACATGTTTTGTTTGCAATATTGACAAATTTAATGGTCCTACGTTGTAGCTGACTGACTGACTGATAAATGAACAGAAGACCGGATTATTGACTCAAGCCCCAAAATGAACAGATACCGACAAACACCATGACTGATGAGCAAATAACTTTATTTTTCCTAGTAAAATGACATACATGAAGTATTGACACAAAACAAATATAATCTATGACCTAGGACATAGAAAGCTGTAGGGAACCGGTTTTGTAGGTCACTCATTTGATAAATGTGTTCTTCCCACCATTTCAATGCAGAAACATTGCAAAAGTACGAAGACAGCTTTGTCATAAAATTTGAAGATATCAATACATTCACGGAATAACTAACTGAATTCATAAAATTTGCAGAGGAATAATATGAACTCTCTACGTATATTATGAATATTATGAAATCTGGAGGTTAAGTTTTGTAGAATGAATGGGTTGGAAAACAGTTAAGAAGTTGAAATTCAAACTAAGTCTCAAAAAGGAAGCAAAAATTTTACTGGGTAAGTTTTCGTGGCTTATAACTGCATTATTATTAATTGATCAAAATCAACTAATGGAAAAGAAAACATCATACGATAAATGATTATCCAATTACGTTTGTGAAAGCGAGTTATAATGAAATGTTATCGGGCTTGAAAATGAATCATAAAACCAACTGATACGAAAATATAAAATGAATGTAGTCAACAAGTAGAGTTTTAAATATGTTTCTAAAGTAAGTCAATGATTTGTTCCCAATTAGAATGTTTCAAGAATTTTATCACGGTGCTTATTACTGGTCCCATATAAACTTAAAATGTAAAACGCTGCAATGTTCAGATATGGTGTCCTTCCTTAATAGCATATTAATTGCTAGTTAGAAATTAATAAGACTTTGGATTTTATTATATTAAACCAAGAATACATCTCTTATAGAATGGGTGAATATACTACAGTGGGATTAAACGATCTTGGCAATCAGACAATTACATTTGTAAGCTCACAATTTTGGAAATCACACCACACATAATGAGTTGAGAACGATGGGCAGATGCACACAAAATTCCAAAACAAAACACGTAATTTCAAGTTTTACTATTAACTTAATTTTGTTTTAGAAGAAATAAATCTACAATGTACGTGGATCTTAGCTTCGATAATAATTGTCGTAGACCAGCTCACAATGCATATTGACATTCATTTGAATAAGTAAAAACGATGAAGGTAGCAGGCAAGTGACCACTTCAGTGGATATTTACTTGGTAGACGATTGCAGCAAACAAAATACTTAAGCGACCCCAACTATTGGTCTTACTTGTTTCTAACTGTTTCTAAAACCAGTCAAATGATTCATTTACATTTCAATCGATGACCTTTGTTATCAAGCTCACGCTGTAATGAAATATTTGACTGGAATGAAAGCCCGAAAAATAAATGACCATTTCATAATGCTGACGACACTTATAATAAAATGTTACGTGACGCTTTTATAAATAATTGATAACACCCCGTTTAATACTAAACGCTAAACAGCTCAATGTAAACAGAATGAAGTATAAAAACCTGTAAGTATCTCAATTGAAGCTATATTCATGAACAGAATCCTTTGTAGTTGAACAGTTTTTAAAAAAAACGTTAAGAACCCATGTTTGAAAGAACTTAATAAAATTTAAAACATTTTATCTCACTTGAAACAGTGGTGGTATATGATTACTACAAATACTCAGTTGAATATCCATCAGTTGAGAAGACTCGATAACTTCACCGGATTTCATCAAGTCGCTAAGCAGAACTGGAGAAAGGTCACGATGAGATTCATGAAAAAGATTGATCAAACGATTATTGTTCGTTCGCGAAAATATAACGTTAACTTTGAGCTCAGAAGCTTGAACTGAACTTATCGCTTCGGTTATGGGGGGTAGTAGAAGAGTGAGTATGGCGTTTGGTGTTTTTTCACGTTGTTCCTTATGTTTATTAACAAATTTTGCCAAAGAGATGCCGCAAATCAGATCAGCGGGAGCAAGCAAAAAGTCTGAGACTCCACAAAGAAATTCACTTGACTCAAGATCACGCATAATATCACCTAGATTATGACAATTTTCCACATTTCGTACAAAAATTTTCAATCCAGGAAAACAATTACTTAAAGTAGTTTGATTTATGTATGCTTGAACGCTTTTGTAGCTTTTAATAGTATAGATTAGAATGTTCCTGAAACCATCAAAAGCAAGAGTAGATAACGTCATATGCAGCAGCGGAACATTACATAATGGAAGTAAACAAGGGGGAACGTAGTCACTTAGAGGATCGAAGCGATCGTATAGAAGGTCTGCAATAAGTACTGCATATAGCTCTTTATCTGTCTGTCCAAAGTTAGATGAATTTTTTATTATATTATCTGCAGGACCTCTACTTTTGGTTCTGTTCGCTTTCAACTTATTCATTGTCATGGCTAAAAATGAACAAAAATTAATAAAGTCTTAACATGAATCAATAAGAGAAAAATATTTACGTACATTTATGATGGAACAGCGAAAACACCCTAATGTACAAGGCTAAAAAGACTTATCCAAAACCGGGAAACAATTCTTGTTATATTTCTCTTGCACAAAAACTTAAAGAAAAACAACAATCAAATCAGTCAGTCAGCTACAACGTAGGACCAGGCACATATGTGCATCGGTCCAGGTTGCCATACCTCAGTAGCACAACAAGATGAACACCGGATTCATAGGAGTGGTTAGGTCAAAGGTTGCAATAAGGATATAGTATAGGAAGGAAGAATTAGTTCGTAGAAAGAAAGATATGAAGTGATTTAATCTCTTAGTTTAAGGGAAGACAGAGAGTGTATACACCGACGCCATTGTGATCGATTCTGAGCCATGTCACCAAGAGTCTCCAACCATTGGTTACGATAGTCACGCGGACCCCAACCAAGTAGTCTGCATCTACCAACATGGCTCAGACTAGAAGTTAGTGACTTCAAGCACTGATGCCACGTTTTGGTTTGGCCGCCCCTAACTTTCTTCCAACCATCCCGAACACCAGTTAGCATTGCATGTCGTGGTAATTGGTGTTTGGGCATACGTAACACGTGGCCCAACCAACCCTGAGTCTCATGAGTGATTACCAAGTCCAACAGAGAAGAACCTTGGTTAGCACCAAAACGTGTGGGTTTGGATACATGATGCACTAATGTGTGCTTCATTACTGTTATCAGGATCCTACTATCAAAGGAGTTCATAGATCCTTCCATGGTCATCTCAGTCCAACTAATATCAGTCAGTCAGTCAGCTACAACGTAGGACCAGGCACATATGTGAATCGGTCCAGGTTGCCATACCTCAGTAGCACAACAAGATGAACACCGGATTCATAGGAGTGGTTAGGTCAAAGGTTGCAATAAGGATATAGTATAGGAAGGAAGAATTAGTTCGTAGAAAGAAAGATATGAAGTGATTTAATCTCTTAGTTTAAGGGAAGACAGAGAGTGTATACACCGACGCCATTGTGATCGATTCTGAGCCATGTCACCAAGAGTCTCCAACCATTGGTTACGATAGTCACGCGGACCCCAACCAAGTAGTCTGCATCTACCAACATGGCTAAGACTAGAAGTTAGTAACTTCAAGCACTGATGCCACGTTTTGGTTTGGCCGCCCCTAACTTTCTTCCAACCATCCCCTATACCAGTTAGCATTGTACGCCGTGGTAATCGGTGTTCAGGCATACGTAATACGTGGCCCAACCATCTCAGTCGATGAAGATTCATAACCTCATCAACTGATCTACCATCATTCCCTAATACCCTGCGTCTAACCTCACTATTACTTACCCGGTGATCCCAGCAGATGCCAGCAATATTTCTAAGGCATCTGTGGTCAAATACTTGTAGCTTACGGGTGTCTCCTACTGTTAAAGGCCATGTTTCGCTGCCGTAAAGTAAGACAGAACGGACTGCCGCGCAGTATACTCGTCCTTTTATTGATAGACGGATATCTCGCCTCCGCCAAAGGTGACGTAAGTTGGCAAAAGCCAAACGAGCTTTTCGAATCCGTGCTGAGATTTCGTCAGACACCAACCCATTAGGGCTGATCAGACTTCCAAGATAAGTGAAGTTGTCGACGCGTTCGACTACTTCACTCCCTATCCTTAGTTCAGGTGTTGACACAGACCAGTCCTGAAGCAACAACTTGCATTTAGAGGGAGAGAAGCGCATCCCAAACATTCTGGCATTGTTGCTTAGTGCTACCAGAAGACTGCATTTTGTCAGCGTCTTCACCAAACAGGACTATATCATCTGCGTATTCTAAGTCGATAAGTGGACCTCCTGGAAGGAGATCAATACCCGAGAATTCAGTCGACGAGAGTGTTATTTCCATCAATAGGTCTATGATGAAGTTAAACAAAAATGGAGAAAGTGGACAGCCTTGACGGACACCACTTGAAGTTGCAAAAGTAGATGACAGTTCGCCATAAGCCCTGACTCGACTAGTAGTGTTCGAGTAAAGAGCCTTCACAAGGTTTATGTACTTCTGAGGTACGCCTTTCAATGACAGACACTGCCACAGAGTCTCGCGGTCTACAGAGTCAAACGCTGCTTTTCAGTCAAGAAAGACCACCATCGTCGGACGCCGATAGGTATGCCTGTGTTCTGGAACCTGACGAATGGTGAATATGTGGTCGATGCAGCCACGACCAGATCTAAAGCCAGCTTGGTTCTCTCGAGTTTGTAGTTCACGAGTCTTAGTTAGGCGTCTGATAATTATCGAGGCCAGTATTTTAGATACTATGTTTGTTAAACTAATCCCTCTGTGGTTGTCACAGGATGATTTTGACCCTTTCTTATATATTGGGACGATGAGTGATTGCGACCAGTCAGATGGGATAAAGTCTAATTCCCAGATCTTAGCTAAAATATTAGTCAACCTAATCGCTAAAATTGGACCACCATCCTTAAAGACCTCTGGAGCCAATCCATCTGGACCAGCTGCCCTTCCTCGTTTCAGATTAACTATAGCCTTTTGAACTTCAGCAAGAGTTGGGGGACCTACTTCAATGTTCCATTCACATCGTCTGGGAATGGAGGGTAGTTGTAAAGTAGCTGAAGGCCAGCTGAACTGTTCTGTAAAATGTTCCGCCCATCGTTCTAAACGTCTGGACTGGGAGCAGATGAGAGTATCATCTTTTTCCGAAATAATCTCACTTACACTTGACTTATTAATTCCAGTTTCTTTTATTAGTCTGTAAAGCTGTCTTGTGTTCCCTATAGTCGCCGCCTTTTCCATCTCTTTTGCTTTCGTTACCCACCACTGCTCACGGTCGTTCCTTAGACTTTTTCTTAACCTAGATCTGATTTGTTTTCGCTCTTCATCATGTTCAGAACTTGATGGGACGAGTTTGCGAGAATCCATCAGTGTGACAGACCTTGAAGAAATCCACTGGTTCCTTGCAACTCTGTGGTTTAAGTCACTAATAGATGTCACTGCTGTTTCCACAGCTGATTGTATGCCCTTCCAAGCAACATCTGGGTCAGCCTCGTCTTCACAACTACCTAAGTGTGACCTCAGTTGTTCCTGGAACCTACTTTTGGTTCTCTCGTTACTCAACTCAGTTCTAACGGGTCTTTTTAATGTGGCTTTTTTGCGTCCAGTGAGGCGCAAGCAGATGCGTACCCGTATTAGGGCATGGTCGGAGTCCAAGCAGGTACTCCAGAATGAGCGACAATCTTCTACCGACCCTCTCCAACGATGACTGATGGCAATATGGTCTATTTGAGTCCATCGTTGGTTTGGTGTAGGGGGTCGCCATGTTAGACGATGTCTCTCCTTATGCTTAAAATTTGTATTTGCTAAAAATAAACGATTGTCTGAGCATAGCTGCAGCAGACGATCACCATTATCTGTTCGCTGTGTCGGAATACTAAAATATCCACCTAAATGCCTTTCTGTTTGGTTTAAGCTACCTATCTGAGCATTAAAATCACCTGCTACGAGTACTATGTCTGAGCGTTTAGCTTTCTGAAGAAGTTCAGAAAGCTTTCTGTAAAATTCATCTTTCACTTCATCTGAGCTGCAGTCAGTGGGAGCGTAGACAGAAACGACAAAAAGGCAACGACGTGTGCCCCTATCCTTCCGAGTTCTTACGTAGCCGTTCAGCCGAACAGCACATAGACGACTGTTGACGGGGATCCACTCTAGCAGTGCTTGTTCGGCCCTCATGCTTAGTGCTATGCCTACAACTGCCAGTCCACGAGAACTGGCCATCGGGTCACCAGATACACGAAGGGTGTATCTCGTTGGCTCTCCGTTTTGCCGAGGTGAGGTCAAGTGAATGACCACACTGGGATCCTGTATGCGTGTTTCAGAGACACAGCATACATCAATGGAAAGAGACTCTAGGGTTTTAGCCAAGGAAGCCTGCTGACCGATTTGACATAGAGTGCGTACGTTGAAAGCTCCAATGTGTAGTTTGGAGCGAGGTTTCAGTAGACCTGGGACAGAGTTTTGAGCACTAGAATCGTTGGCTATGGTGACACTTGAGGAGGAAGCCGAAGGAGGAAGTTTAGGGTTGAAAGTCGATGTAGGAGGAATAATAGGAATTGAAGAGGAAGGTTGATTATGAATACAGTGGTCTTGGGTGCGGTTAGAGGTATGAGGGCGGTTATCACTTCCCGGTTGCCCACACCGTGGAAGGGTTCTTCTGGAGGTACCTGAAAAGGAAATTGGATTAGAGGTGGTCTCAGTGACCTGAGAGCGTGACCGCAGTGCCCAAGGGACAACTGCTTGAGGCCGGTCGCGCACGGCCTTTTCGTGGAAGGTTTGCGACGTGTTAGCTCCGTTCTTCAAAGGGCCTTACCGCCGGAGACGGAAATCCGTGAGGTAAGGTGAGGTGTGCATTTTTAGGGTCGACCTTTTCTAACCCCACCCCTCCTTGTGGGAAGGCAGCATCGCTGTCATGCTGGTTGTCTGAAGGAAACACCTTACTGCTGTCACACCTCTGTACAGTCAGCAGTACGACTTCGCCTTCGGACCTTGGGTTTGTTGCTTTTAGTCTTACCGCTCTTCAACCGACCTGTCTGACATGGTAGGACCTTGAGGAACGGTTGTTCCAGCCAGTATAGCTCGGTTGCTTCATCACGATAGGCAAGCCCGACCACCACGTCAAGGTAGCAACAACGGTCGGGACAACAATCAAATATATTAGTTTGGACTTTTTGTTTGGTCTTGACCCTTTGCTTGAACTGAATGCTTCATAGTGAGAGTTTTTACATTGTTGTATAAACATTTGTCGAAGTACATTTTAAGTATTATTATAAATGAATACTAATATTATAGCCCTGACTAGTAAACACTTCATAGCCGTAATCTTGATAATTACCAGTTAATTTTGGTTTATCACGATTTTTGATGTATACATATTAGTAATGAAACAGGTTTGGATTATCGCTTACCAGTCACATCAATGACCGACGTGTTCTATAAAATAAAAACCGCTTTAGACCTCAGATAGCATCACTTTGACGGTGGTTGTGACCTGTTCCTGATTTATACATTACCAACAGCCTAAGCACTTTGGTCTATCACTAAAATAGTGGCTATTACTCGCAATTTTATTTAAATGATACCAGTTACACTCTCAATCGATTTGAACAAGAAATTCTCCAAATACACTCAGATATGTTAAACTCATAAGCCAATTGTCAAACTGCTGTGTAAGGTTCGATACCCCAGGTACAATATAGGTAGCTCATAGGGCAAGGTAACTAACAAACGTGCTCAATCAACACTTTATTTAGACCACAAATTAGTTCTAAATTCTTGGGGTTTAGAAAACTTTTATCAGTACCTACAAGTAGATAAGTATTCACAGTTTTAGAAAAGTATGAGGATCTATCTTTGAAGAGCCATGCGAAAATGCTAATTCTATGACTGTACCTGTAACACAACTGAAAAATGAAGAAATTGAGCAACTGTGACAAAACTATACTGTAAGCTTTGATTTGATTTACATTATTCGAATAGAGACTTTATTGAAGTAACGTGTTTTCTGAGTATATTGTTCAGACGTAAATTAGCAATCATGATGGTCATTTTGGCTTATATGTGACTATTACGTGAAAAAATTAATTTTCTCCAATAACCCAATAGAGGTGATGGTTGAGATTATTTACGAAAAAACCTGAATTTCTTCTAAGGCTTAAGCTTAGCACTAGAGCAGAAATGTTTTTTTCTTTAGATCTTGAACATAAATGCTGCTTTAACCCAAGAATCTAATTATTATCGGTTTAGGGGTTGTGGAGATTGTTGAGTTTTTGATTGAGATCATGAACCGACAGATGTTAGACCACCATTGAAAACCTGGAAGCACTGGACGGTCGTTTCATCCTATTATGGGGCTCCTCAGCAGTGCGCATCCACGATCCCGCTCGCGAGATTCAAACCCAAGGCCTTCAGTCTCGTGAGCGAACGCTTAACCAGCATTGAAATGCCTGGATCAGTTGTTTTTTAATGTGTATTTACTAACTGAAGATGTTTGTTAAGTTTAAGGCCATTTAAATGAGCATGTACTATTTGTTTTAGGACTCGCCTGAGAAAGACCATTTATCTTCTATATATTGACAAACATTGAACAAGATTGTAAATGGGTAGGGGACACTTGTAAGAACGACTGATAAATTAATATGCATAACTAAAGGTTTATGAGAACTGACTTCTCGCACGATAAGGAAGCGGTAGACAAAAATTCAATTACTCAAGAAGGTTACTTTCCAATATCATAAGTATAAGAAGCAGTATGATGAATGACCTATTAAGCTACATGAGTCTCCACTAGGTAAATCCGATTCAGGAAGTTCTCCTCGAAGATCGACACAGACCCAGAATAAACAGTTACTGCAGAGGAGTCCTGAATATGCGATATTCGATACCAGCGGAAGCGGACTTTTAATTACGTAAATGTCTTAAACTAGTAAAATCTATTCCGAATGAACTGTATAACTGGCTGCCTTAACAAACATATTAACACTTCTATTAGAGAAATAGGCTATAGTTAGCCCTATCCTCTAGACAGCAAATAAATCAAATCCATTTTCTGTAGCTGACGGAACAAGACATAACCATTAGTGTCTTGAGAAACATAAATAGTGACTACCAATTGTTGGGCGCAAAAGATTTTCAGTTTAATCAACGTTTTCAAATGGCATCAAATCAACGACAAATCAAGATCTCGCGGCTTTTGGAGTTACAATAGACATTATTAGAACATCTTGAAATGGAAGGATGAGGCCAATTGGCTTCCTATTAATAGGAATATCGTAGTGAAGTTTTCATAGGGTAATTGAGCCCAAACAGAACCACTAGTACTGGTCTTTCGACTGTTTAACATAATAATTGTTCCTTTGACCTTAAAACTAGGTGTCGGTAGGCTTTGGGCTGAACTAAAAATGTTTTAGTGGAAGTCATGATAGTGCTGGTGAGGGGATAAAAATGAGTAGAAATGTAGGACAAATACTCATTCTGAA